GTGATTAGATTAACAGCTACAGTGACAAAAATTTTACTCGACATGCTGTTTCCAACATCTTTACACCTGCCACTACAGGGGGTGGTACCGGCTTTATGCTCACATAGTAAGCTTTGAGACGTGTAGCACAGAAGTTAGATAATCGTCGCAGAGGGTAAAATGAAAAGACGACATTAACTTGGAGTTGGTTGGTTGACTGATTTAAGTTTAAAGCCTAGTGACTACACAAGATTCAGTAAGGTTGTACGTCATCTCAACACTAACGGTCAAGAATATTTTAATTACTAAAATAGGGATTAAAATACTTTGTGTATACAGTATATACTCTGCGGCCACTTTATTAGGTACACCTCATTAATACCAATATGTAATCAGCCAATCACATGGCAGCACTTCAATGCCTAACAGCTTGCAAACATGGTCAAGAAGTTCACTTGTTCTTCAGACTAAACATCAGAATGGGGAGAAAATGTGATCTAAGTGACTTTGACTGTGGAATGACTGTTGGGGCCAGATAGGGTGGTTTGAATATCTCAGAAACTTCTGAACTTATGGGATTTTCACACACAATAGTCTATAGTTTATGGACAAGGATGTGGAAAACACACAACATCCAGTGAGGGGCAGTTCTGTGGGCAAAAATATGTTGATAATGACAGAGGTCAGAGAAGGATGACCAGGCTGGTTCAAGCTGACCATTACAACAGTGGTATTCAGAAGAGAATCTCCAAATGCACACCACATTGAACCTTGAATGGGCTACAGCAGCAAATGACATTGGGTTCCACTCCTGTCAGCTAAGAACAGTAAACTGAAGCTACAGTGGGCACAGGCTCACTACACATGGACAGGTGAAGATTGAAAAAAGTCTCCTGGCCTGACGAATCATGATTTCTGCTGTGACATATAGATGGTAGGGTCAGAATTTGGTTTAAACCTTTGGGATGTGGTGGAACTAGAGATTTACATCATGAATGTGCAACCGACAAATCTGCAGCAGCTGCTTGATGCTATCTTGTCAACTTGGACCAGGATATCTAAAGAATATTTCTGGCATCTTGTTGAATCCATGCCACAAAGAATTCAGACTGTTCTGGGGGCATAGGGAAGGCCCTACCCAGTACTAGAAGAGTGTACCTATTAAAGTGGCCACTGAGTGTATATGCATAGAAAAATATCTCTTGTTTTATATATAATTGTTTACATTTAATCACAGGTTCTAACCATTGGCCCATAACTTATGACACCTGCCTCCTTTGCCAACCTGGCATAGTCTGTTGCTGAAAACATAAACATGTTAGCCTCTTCATGGAATTTCCCAGTCAAAGGCCTCATCAAGAAAAAAAGTCACAATACAGTGGCTGGAACAATTCATAAATAAACCACATTTAAAGGAAAAGCTTAAGGACTCATAATGATACTTTATTTGACAAGTTTGTCATGAAGCACATCAATTGGAAGAGAGAGAGGAGTCGTAACTATAATATAAATTCTGGAGTAGAAACTTATTGAGCATTACAAAAGTGTGCTGCTATGTATTATACACTGCCTACAGAAATTCAAGTAAATAACTACAAGGAAAAAAGATAAAGAACCTAGGGCTCACAAAAGTCATGCCCAGACCAATTGGTAGCACATGATCATGAAAAGAAATGAATAAAACAGCTCTGCAACTCTTACTAGAAGTTTCTGAACAAAATTACTATTCTGACATTTAATGAATCCAAAGGAGATATGAAAAATTTGGAAAACCCTCTCCAAAACTATAGGATGTAAGATAAAAAATAATCTGTAATAAAGTTGGTAGAATTACTGACAATATGTAAAGTAAAAGGACGCAAGTGTAACTAATGTGACATTTTTATTGTGGCAACGTTTCGCTCTCCTGGCTTGACAAAGCTCCTAAGCTCCTAGAGAGCGAAACTTTGCCACAATAAAAATGTCACATTAGTTGCACTTGTGTCCTTTTACTTTACATAAAAATAATCTGTTGAAAAATGGACTCTCCCTCTCAACTACTGACTCACTGAATAAGTTTAATAACATCCTCTACAAAGGGAACTAATCCTGCAAACAGCCTTCCAGAGGCTCATACTAACATTAGTAGTTATCTGACTAGAAATGACCCTGACTGTTATTACTTGGCTTTTATCACATCCTTAGAATTGTCTCCAATGATAGTCACTTAAAATATGGCTAATAACATTAGTGCAATACTTGCACTTCCCTACCCAAAAAAAAAATCTGCTGTTTTAAAACTTTTTAACATCACAATAAGGAAACCTATGGCTTTGCAAAGCATGTAGAAGTCGGTTACACCTTGGCAGTAATCCTTTGACTACTAATCTCCTTCCATTGTCTTTAATTTTGTTTGTAAAGATTTTCTACCTGTTAAAAATATATGATCTACTGTGTTTTAAATCATTGGTTCCAATGTAAGTCATAAAAATTGTATCCTCTGGTAGGTCTTCTGTTACCTCGGTAAATTAATCGTGTATATCCTTGCTCCTGGGAAATGTATCCTCTTATACTTGTTGCTGTGGGAAAATTTAATTTTTTTTTTCTTGAAACAGTCTCTGACCTAGATAACCTGGGGATTTGGCTGGACCTTTTCAGGGTGTGGTTAAGCTGTCCCATCAAACTTGTTACACAATATCTGGATATGTTCCCATTGTTTATTAGTGTAAATCTGCTTAGTTTCTTCTGCATAAATTTTTCTCTCAATAATTGTGGAATTAATTCATTGGTGGAATCCACCATCTTCCAAACTGACTGAGTAGTGGCTGTTATCCTGAGTTGCTCTTATATATCTGTTACGTTATTTGTAGTGTTGGTAGCGGTAATTCAAAGTCATTTTAAGCAGGGGAGCTTTATAAAGCTTCACTCTGAGTGAAACTGTTAAAATAAATATTCTCCCAGTTGAGTGTCTTTGAATCACCACTCATTGACTCAGGTCATTGTCTACCATCGTTTATAGTGGTCTGTGGAAGTGGAGAAACCTATTTGGAGATGTGAATGAAAGAAGAAAGAGGGGGCTTTATCTAACCATGTTAAAGAGGCCCTCAGTTAGAGGCTGAAATATACAACTCCCTCTTTATTTCTTGTTTTATTTTAGTTTCCAGTTAGGTTTCTCACTTTCTGGTGTTTTATATTTATAGCAGGCAGATTGTGTGAGTGTCACTTTCCTCAGGAGAATGGAGATGCCAGTGGCAGGACTCTGAAGCGAGAGAACCCACACAAGTACCTGCTTTATAAGCCTACCTTCTCTCAGTTGATGGTTTTCCTAGCATCAGGCTTCAAGGAGCTGCCTGCCAATGGTGCCATGTTGTTGTACATCTCTGCTGATGGGGCATTCACCAACTCAAAACACCCTCAGGATCGTTAGTAAATGATAAGTTTGTTCAAACAGTTCTTAGGTATGAAAGCTTAAGTATTACTACCAGTAACTCAGATATGCTGTAAATTAAATTTAAGAACTTCATTGATGGAGCCTTATGTGTACTTTTAAGAGGTTATACTAAAATAAATTTTGTAAAATATTATTTTTTCCTGTCTATATTGATTGATGCTTATGATCCCAAGTCATTATTTTTCATTTTATTGTTATAATTTGTAAGCTAAAGGAATACCCAATAGAAGAGAATATGTAGACTATTTAACTTGGCACAAAACTGCTATGTCTCATAAACTCATGTCTAGTCATGGGGTAGGGTACTGGTGACAAGCTCTTGATTTGAGAAGTTGGAGCTTCCTTACCCTTCCTAGTATTTCCTGCCATTATTAACATGCTGTGTGAGTGTGTGATCCATATGGATTGAGCACTTCCCCTTGAATATAATAATTATATCAAGCATTTCTTTGAACTTAATGCAATGTTAGCCAGTTTCAATATAATCGTGCTGTGTTGCTGCAAATTGTCATTATGATGCTTTCCAAAATAATGAATTGTTGGTAAACACTGTGCCATTGCCTCATTGTTTTTATGTGACTTGGCATGATCAAATAGTCACATCCTTGTCAGGAAGGCTGGGGCTCAGATCCTGATTGAAATTGTGAGACTTTGTCATTTTACATAACTGATTCATTCACATTATGTAAAAAGTATATTTTTTATATAAACAGTATGTTATTGCTTTTCTTAGATTATTCACTTTGTAATTTGGAATCACTTGAGTAGAATAAGATGATATCTTGTCACTTTAATGTATTACACACTTCTGCTCTTAAAATAATAATAATTTATGATTTTTTTTATTTTTGTTTACTTAATTATTTTTTCAACACGGCTGTCTCCCACTGAGGCAGGGTGACCTATAAAAGAAACTTAGTTTTTCTTCTTTTTACATTTAGTAATTTATTATTATTATTAATGTTATTATTATTATTATTGTAAAGTAAAAGGACACAAGTGCAACTAATGTGACATTTTATTGTGGCAACGTTTCGCTCTCCAGGAGCTTTGTCAAGCCGTTACGGCTTGACAAAGCCGTTACGGCTTGACAAAGCCGCTACGGCTTGACAAAGCCGCTACGGCTTGACAAAGCCGCTACGGCTTGACAAAGCCGTTACGACTTGACAAAGCCATAACGGCTTGACAAAGTAGCGGCTTTTACTTTACATATTGTCGGTAATTCTACCAAAATATATTATTATTATTTTTATAGGGAAATGGTAAACTTTTTTAAAGTCAATTAGCCAGGGAACAATTAGGTGTGACCTAAGTAAGGGAAGGGCAGCTTCCAATTCCTTCCATGAAGAGTCCTAAGCCAGCTTCAAGTCACCTCCATCTTCCTTAATTGTTACACAGCTCTGTTCTCAGCCTGGGTGTGTGATTTCTTGAGGGAGAGTGGGTAAGAGTGCTTTGATGCCACTGAATGGCTCCTCATCCAAGGAATTGCAGGTATCCTCCCATTTTTAGGATAAAACCTGATCACCTCTCATTCCCCAGAGACTGACCTCTATGGGGTCAGTCTCTAGTGTAATGCCAATTGCTCTTTTATAAGTATCCATGTGATGTCACTAGTAAATTGTAACTATGGTGAATTCTCACATAATGCGAAGGTTGCATTCCTAAAATTGATGGTGTGTAATTTTTTATATGTTATGTGAAAATATATGGGGAAAAAATATTTAGGTTCTTGACATCTCTAAAAAAAAAAGTCAAATAAACTTGTATAAATTTCTTATTTTGTTAAAAATAATGAAGTTTTGACAACTTGTAGATGTTGCTATTTTTTACAGTTGACTGTTAACACGTTCAGAAAATGGCTGGTTACTCAAAATCACGTTAATCAAACTGCAAAATATTTGGGGAAAAATATGGATATGTTCTTGGGCCCTCCAAAAAATGGCATAATTTGTCTTATCTTTCAATTCTTAAAAAAAAAAAAAAAAATATTTACTGTAATTGTAGTTTTATGTCATGAAGGGTACGTAGTGTCTGCAGAAGAAAAAGCCGATGCAATAGAGATCAACATTTTTTGCCATTTTACATCATTTTGCATACAAAATGTTAATAAAGGGGGGAAATGAAACAAAGAATTGAAAACTACTTTATCTTGTAACCTAATGTTGGTCATTCCACTTTTATTTTAAATTTATTTCTTAATTCTTGAAGGTTTACGCTAAGAAATTCTTGAAATAATCACTGTCCATTGTGATCTAATGCCCTCTTCTTTCCAGGGACAATACAGAAGCCTTTTCTTCTATACTAAGCTTGCAGGACCTCATTACAATCAGCTTGATTTAATTTGTGGGCACTGTTATTAAAATACAGTACATGCACTTAAAAGCTGTAAAAAAAATTATTTATACCTTACATTCTGGTTGTTGGGACTTGCTGATGATCTTGAAAGGCATGGAGAGGAATGCTGTGGCACTACTGGGTCATGGTGGATGACTATAGATCTTGTGCCGACAGGTATGGCTGAGGCTTTTGCACTGTCGATGCAGCGTTGTCAGATGATGGAATTAAATATTACCAAGATGTAGGAAAACACTTATGTACAGTTCAGGACTTTTATTAAAGGAAACATTTCACCACAAGAGGTTTCTTCAGTTTTAATATAGGGACACTAAAAAAAAAAATAGTATATATAGTGATGGGAGTCAGGTAGGAAGCTGTAATGAGGGTATTAATAATAGTAGTGGTGGAAGTAGTACAGGGTTTGAGAGGGCCTCTCAGCATGGGCCAGTAGGCCTGCTGCAGTGCTACTCTGTATATAGTACACATGTAGGTATCACATAACAGTGGTCTGCAGAATGAGTAATATGGATATGGTGTAACTGCCTGACCTCTGAGGGATTTTTACTGACGGCAATTAGGGCACCCTGTATACACTTTAGTCTTCGTAAATCTTCCTAAACAACTAACCTGGCTTCATAAAACTTCGTTAAGTGTCCAACATTGTCTGTGTTGGACACAAGGGTTTTTATGGTCATCACACTTGCAGGCATTCTTGTGTTTGCAGATCTTAGGAGATTTTGCTGTTTTCCCTGCTTTTATCTAGTCATATCACATGTGGTATTGTGTATACTCCTGAGCCTAGTGAGTTGCTCTTGTGTTTTTCAAAATGTTTTGAATGATAAAAGATGAGTTGGTGGCTATTCTTCCATCCCTTAAAAACTTGGTGCAAAAAACAAGTGTGACTCTACCACTAGCATGGGAGTACAGTATACGTAATACCAAGTGGGGGGTGGGTAGTGACAAAATATGTAGGGGAAACGGCTAAATCTCAAAAGATTAGGATCCACGAGCACAAACACGCCTACAATGTTGATGACTAAAATGCCTGTGTCAAACACAGACAATGTTGGACACTTAATGAAGTTCAGTGAGGCCAGTTTAGTCATCTGAAAATATTAGTGCAGATGAAAATGTATAGAGGCTGCCATAATTGCTGTCAACAGCACAGTTCCTTGGAAGTCCAAAATGTAGATTACAAAATGTTGATTACAAAACAAGTAATGTCCTGTTAGATATCTGTAATGTGGTACAGGTAGATCATCATTAATCCGGCATCATCAGGACCTGTAATGTGCCGGATTAGTGAGTGCCAGACGACAGAGTGGTTAGGTTAGAATACACTTAAGCCAGTGGCGATATATACGCATTGGTGATTTCACCCACTTTACACCCTATTTTTGGACCATTCCGTTGTTCGTCTACCAAACTCATAGTATTTCTTCTATTCTGTCGATTGAGTACAAGAAACCACCCATTTACTTATTTCAGTTACCCAATAAAGTGGTCAGAAATTGGTAATTAGTCCAGTTTCACACAAATTTCAAGATATACCAATTACAAAATAGGGTCTAGAACAATGCAGATATTTCTGGCACTACAATAACATTTTCTCTGTTTATTAGTCATGTCTCCAGGCCCCTCTTTTATTACATTTGCTTTCCATTTTGAATTATTATTCACACAAAAAATAGAAGATTTACTGTTATGCAGACTACTGCATTATTGTAATGTATAAATGATGTCAACCCATTTGTGACTGCATATTAGACTGGTCAGTTGGACATACATTGGACGGTGACATCATTTGTTTACTCTTGAACATTGGCAAAACTCGAACAGTTCCGCTACTTTGAGCTCAATTTCAAGGTACTTTTCATCGTGAAACCAATGAAAATCATATCTATTTCTGTAATACAGTACACCGTTATATTACACGGTAGTTATGTTCCTGAAAATGCCTTGTTAGGTAAATTGTGTTAGATAAACTGAAGAAGTTGTGGGGAAAAATAGGGTTATGTTCCTGGGAGCCCCCAAAAAAGCCGAACAACTTTTTTTTTTTGACCTCCAGATCTTACAAAAATAAAACAGAATTTGTAATTGTTGTGATGTATTATGTTGTTTTTACTTCTTAAGACTACAAATGCAACAGAAATAATAGCATTTTGTAAACTGTGGGTGCTGGTGTTTGTCGATGATTGTATTGAAAGTGGATAGTTATGCTGTGGCCCTACTGGGCTGAGGTGGATGGTAGAGGTTATGGTACTGAAGTCGATGGTTGTACAGGAGTGTGCATAAATCCTGTAATGAATTTCTGGGCTATTTTACCCTGCAGTTCATTATACAGCTGACTGTAAGGCATCGGCTGCTGTAGACACCATTTCAGAGCACTGCTTCTAGATTTGTCAGGGTCCTCTTCAGTAAACAAGTTTGTCAGTCAGTGAGTCAAGTAAATCAGTAAGTCCAGTCAGTCAGTCAGTAAAGTAAGTAAAGTCAGTCAGTCATTCATCACACAAACTTGTATTTTCCTCATTCCTTTTAATTGTATAAACTGACAGTTCATCATTGCCATAGGCTCTCTTGTCTAATACTATCTCTATATTTTCTTTGTAACTCCAAGACTTAAACGCTTATACC